TGCCGATGCGGAAAAACTCATTATCGACATTGAAGAAAAAGATGTCAAATTCAGCGCAGAAGAATGCAATCGCAGCTTGTTTGGTAAAATTATTGGGGAAAAGAAGGCAAACTGGATGGGGGTTAAAAGGACGATGGGATTATTGTGGAGAATGGGAAATACGCTCGAAATTCGAGAGCTGAACAGTAACTACTTCCAGTTCCTGTTTCCCAACAGAGAGGCTATGCTTAGAGTGGATCTTGATCGAAGCTGGATCTTTGAAAACCAGTACCTGCTGCTCCATCAATGGCGAGAGGGCTTAACAGAAAACCACCAGTGTTTCAATGAATTAACCCTATGGGTTCAAGCTCATGGCATTCCCATCAACTGGTTGAGTATCGACGTTGGCACAAAGCTGGGTAGAGCCTTCCTGGATGTTAAAAATGTGAATCTGGCCCGTGCGGGGCTCCAAGGAGGGAGGATTATAAGACTTCAAGCTACTCTGGATATTCGCGCTCCTCTCCCAAGATGGTCGACCATCAGATTGGGTGACCATACTGTCACAATACAATTCAAGTATGAGAAGATTGTGAGTCTTTGTTATTACTGTGGCAAGTTGGGACATGTAGACAAAAACTGCAGTCAAAAGAAGGACGATATAGCAAGGAAAGAGCCTAAGGTGGGACAATATGGAGAATGGATGCGAGCTGCAGACGGAGTAATAATCTCAGGATCTCCGCCGGCGAGCAACAACAGTGAAACTTCAACGAACAGACATTCCGAACCAATGGTGCCACCTGTTAATGAGGACTTAGAGCATCCCCCATCACACAATGCTTCATCTAATAGAGGTAATATGAACACCTCGCCTGGGACCCCAGGTTTCCTATCTAAGAGTCTTGTGAGGGTTGACTCCTCATCATCAAGAGCAGAAGGAGAGCCCATGGAAGGATATACTACTGGGCACAAACAACTTCATTTTCCATTCAATGCCTCTCCTCTAGCTGAGAAGGCCCTGGTGAAAGTGCCTGACAAGGAAATTACCACTATGGAGGTTCAAGACTTCGCAGACCCAACTGTACAGACAGAAGTTGCCATGAATTTAACCCAGCAGAGTAAGATGTGGAAGAGAGCTAAGAATGGAGTTGGGAGACTTGCAAGAACAAAGAAACAAATCAAACTTCAGGATGACCTTGGATCTTCGAAAAGAAAGAGAGGAGGGGCCATTCCAG